CAGAGCCACTAAGTTTGCATTTGTACTTCAATCCATTCTTCTGGATGCAAACGTTTTGCTAATTCAATCTGTGAATGAACCCCCAGAAAGGGCTCTTCTGTCAGGTTTGTTTTAAAATTTCATCTAAGAGATTCTGCTAAAAGCTTCCTGGGGAAAAAAAGGCCACTAAAGCAAGCTTAAGTCATGGTGAAACATCTGTCCCCCAAAGGGACTGCACTGGAAAGGGCCATCTGGCAGGCTGCTTTAATCTGGCTGCCACCAGGATAAGCTTTCAGGAGAACAAGGAGGTTCTCTACCAGCCTCGTATCAGAAGAGCCAAAGAAATATTATGATTGGTTTTTTTAAGTGAGGCTTGATCAGTTCATTTAAAGTATTATATGGCACGGTTTCTGAAATAGTAGAAGAATGGACTGGAATGAGTTTTCTTCCAGTTCTACATTTCTGCCCTAAGATGAACGAACAAATAACTGATCATTGTATGCATGGATGAAAGACACAGTAATAGAAGGCTAAAACCGGCCTGTTAAGCCCAAAGAAACCAAGGAACTCCAGATCATACACACAAGCTTACTCTACGGTGCACCCAATGTGCTTTAACACATGGCTGACAGCTCCTGATGTTCGTGCACCGCATACTTCAGCTGATTATACTTGAACCTCTGCTTTCATTTAACACCACAAGTTTATAACAACCACGGCTACAAGTAAGTACTTACAAATAATGAAATCTAATAGTTCAAGACGAGAAAGCACATTTTAAACACCCAGCACTCATTATTTTTTTTCCCCAAATTTCAGGGTGCTAGAGTGATTTTGGTTTTAGGTAGTTTTTGGAAGCAGTGGGCTGTGCGATCCTTCAGTACTGAACTCTCGAGGCTGACTACATTGCAGTAGCAGGTGATACCAACCCTGAATGAAAAGGGGAAATGGCTTTTATGTCGGTTAGTATTAGCTGCCTAGAAATTAAGCATCTGATCTAAATCAATCATTTAGGCTCTCTCATAGACATAGAGAAAGAAAGGCATGTCCAAGGGGAAATTTTCGCACCCATCTTTGGTAGGCTTTTTAGGATGGAAAAAGTTGCCTGCCAAGCACGTCTGTGTCTCTCCTGAAAGGTGAGGGGCACCAGCTGGTCCTCAGAAATCCCCCTTAACTTTAGGCACGCAAATAACGAGCCTCCTAGTCCCAGCGCCTGGCACAGGGGTTTCCACGTTATCTGAAACCAAGATTGACACATAGCCAGACTGCAAAAGCAAAACAGCAGAGGTGCTGGGTCCCAACAGGATGATCACAGCACAGAGATCGTCGTGCCTGGATCGGATCCATAACTTAGCAATGTTACTGGTAGAAAGCCAATCCTTCACCAGCTAAATGCTCCCGGCATTATAAAATGTGATAGGGAAGGGGCAAACTTAAAGCAGACATTTCTCCTTGCCTTTCCCCTTGCAGGCAGCCACCCTGAGCACACACCCACGAACAGGCACGCCGCCACAGCCATTACCTTGCTTCTAGCTCGCTCTATAAACTCCAGAGGAGCTTTCCCAAACTGAAACGCAGCTCCAAACCAAGGGATCCAGCTCCCGATGCAAGGAGGGGAGCTCGGGTTTCTCGACTGAAACAAAACCACCCTGACAATAAGGAGTCCCAGGATTGCTGCCAAGAGGAGAGCAAGAGCCATTTTGCCTCTTCGCTGCCTGCCGCAGCAGCTGCTCCGCCTGCCGCAGCACCCGGCACGGCCGCGCTGGCCGGGATTACCCGGTCAATGAACAGGGCCTCTTTTATCAGCCTTGCCAGCTGATCACTGCCATGGAGACAAGATGCCAAAGCACCAAGCAGCCCAGGGAATGAGCCCTTGTTTTGGAAAAGGCAGAGCCAGTTCTCCTCCACGCCGGGACGGGGACCAACTCCACTCCTTGCAAAACTTAGATGTTGCTGTGACAAATCCTTGAACTTCTCACGAGTTGCTGGAAGCAGCCCAAGCAGCCATGGACACGGACACTGTGGCAAAGCGGTGTGTTACTTTCTTCAGTTAAAAAAATTATTTTTTGGCAATATGGAGATTATAAAGCAGAGAGGCTGTGATTTGCAGACACTTGGCTTTCAGCAAGGCAGATGGCAGGAAACTTCTGCAGGCGTCACCTGAAGCAGTAAGCTTTATGAAAGGTCTCTCTCACCTGTCTGAGATCATCTCATTGATGTGTGTCCAGCACCTGAGGAGCAGAGACAGGCTTCGGAGGTTGAACTGGCAATTCAAAACCTGCTGAGGCCCCTATAACATCACTGCAATGTCAGAATACAAGATTTCAGAGAGGTCAGATTGGTTTCTTTGCGCGTGTGGAAGTGGCACACCAAAACTACGTACAGAATTCATTAAATATAAAAAACCCTAGGAAGTGCCCTCACAGCCTACCCCCGCACAGCCTCAGCAAGTCTGAAGACAACACAAAGGCAGGAGGAGTAGTTGATAGACCGGATGGGTGTGCTGCCATTCAGAGTGACTTCAAGAGGCTGGAGAAATGGGCAAACAGGGACTCATCATAGAATACCAGGATGCAAGGGACCTCAAGGAAAACCTGGTCCAACCTTTCCTGGCAAAAAAAGTGACCTCATGAAGTTCAGCAAAGGGAAATGCCAAGTACAACCCTCTGTGAAGACATTCATTATAGGCTTTTGCATTTGTTTTGGACTTTTTTTTTTTGTTTAACTTCTGCTTCTGTGACACAACTTGATGAAGGACAAGACATGCTACTGAAAGGCACTACTGTGAGGAGGACACAACCAGTATGATGGTGCGTAGTCACTAACAAGTTTTCCTCAGATTAGGTCCTAGTCCCAGGCAGATAATAGTTAATGGTCTTTCCAAGGTAAACTAACACAGTCACCACTGGTGGAAGCAGGTGAGAGGACCAGGGCAGTTCGGCTGCTTTTCTTGGGCACCACACAGCCCTCCCAGACCCCGCTGCTGTGTTTCCATTGCATATGAAGTCCACACTCCCTCCCTGCATGTGCAGCCTTTGATCAAACTGTCACTGGCTTTGGACAGAAACCAGAAAATGGTGTCTCACTGAAATAAGTAAATAAAAAGGTAAATAAAAAGTAAATAAAGCTCTGCTGGAGCTGTCTCCCTCAGGATTTGGGGATATACAAACTCCAGCTGATTGATGGACCTCCACAAATCACAGAGCTGCCCACGCAAGTGTCTGTCTGCGGGTCAGGCTCATTCCAAAGATCCCGTGGGAAGAGAAAGTTCTTCCTCACTGCCATCCCCAAATCAGTCTGGTTTAAAAAAAGAACTTATTTCCACCGACTAAAAATTACCACGGAGAGCTGCTCTCCCCACAGGACGCCACAATGTTATGGGGTTTATTTTAAAGAGGGATCTAGTTGTTGTTTTCTGCCCCCTAAAGCATGGTTATAGAGAAGACAGAGTGAGACTGTCCCCAGAGGTGTATATCTAAGGAATGAGAGGCAATGGACATAAGATGCAATATGGGAAATTCTGACTGAATATAAGGAAAAAATGTTCACAAAGTGGTTAAGCACCAGAGCAGGCTGTGGTTGTGAAAACCCCATTCCTGGAGGTTTTCAGAAGGTAACCAAGCAAGACGCTGGGCAACCTGACTTAACTCTGAAGCTATTCCTGCTCTGAGCAGAGGATTGTACTAGATGACCTCTAGGGGTCCTCTCCAACCTAAATTATGAATTGATGATAGACAGGCTGATATACAGTGGCACAAGATGACCCAAGCCCAGAGAACAGCTACAGAGGGAGGCAGAGAAATGCCAACAGCAGATTGCATAAACTGCCTAGAATAAGGCTCTGAATGTCTCACACCCTCAGTGCAGCCAGGCGTGCTTGCATTGAATTGCAATTTGCCTCCTCATTTTAATCGTGGTTTTGTTGGTAGTTTGTTTTATTGCTGCATGAATTCTAATGAATTCTAACCCAAAGAAGGATTCAATTTAATACCCATTACTGGTGACCAACGAGATAAATTCACTGACTTTACCTGAATATTTCGCCTGCAATGCTTCCTTCATTTGCCTGAACCAGGACAGGGACCACACACCAAAATGTTAGGCAGTCAGACAGGGGGGTGGGGAGGCGTTCTGGGATAAGTTTCTGTGACCTAAAAAATCCTCAAATCCTCAGCACGAGGATTAGTGATTAATGGCTAATGATTAACTTAGTGATTCAGCTGAGTCTTAATGATAAATGAAAAGCTTCTCTTGAACAGCGCATGCCTTACCCTTTTTTTCATGATGAGAACCTAAATATGCCTACATTAATTTAAGAGAAATTAGGGCTGGCACACGATTAACAGGGCTTCAGCATTCAGCCAGGAAAAGCTTTAAACTTTTCACATGCAGGGCTCTGGGTAGAGGTTGGCTTCTGCCTTCCCAGGTTTGCATGCTCCTTGCTCAAACCGCACTACTCTGTGCCTAATCCCCACGGGAGGTGAATTGCTACAAGCACTCCAGCTCGGCATGTAGCTGTTCCTAATGCAGCTTTTGTTAAACCAGGATCTGGATCAATTCATCCCTCTCGGATGCCTGTGCAGCTGTTTGACACTGGGACGCAGTGTGGGGCTCCCCAGGCACTGCTGTCAATGACGGCACCCCATAAAGCTAACAGACCCCGCACGTGTTCTCCTAATCTTGAGGTCTCACTAATGATGTATTTTTTTGATGTAGATAATGGGCGAAATCATGTGCGTGACTGCACCCGCACGGCCAGTTGCCTGGTGGAGGGTGACGTTGGTGACAGACTACATTTCCCAGGAGCCCGGTGCGCAGGAGTCGCTTGTGTCACTGCACAAGGACCTTGCAGCTCTGCAGGAGGCATTTGGGCTGCTGCGGTTCCCGGTGCTGGCGCTGGAGAAACATGACCTTCAGCAATTTGCCTCCTAAACGACCCCGAACAGAGCTGAGCTAGGGTCTGCTTTTGCTCCAGACCCTTGCAGGCTGGCTGGTTAGCCTTGTTTCATGTTAGACGCTAGATGTCACCTGCAGAAGAAGAGAAGAGCTTACCTCTTCCAGAGAGATGGCCCCGAGCCAGCAAATTCGCTCTATCAGCCTGTGCAGCGGCTGTGGCAGAACTAGGTACAACTCACCGTGATTTTCCGAGAGGCAAGAGGGTCAAAATTTACTTTTGGAGGGCAGGGGGAACTTCAGTCCCCAGACGCCTTATTCCTCGGTGCTCGCTCCGGCTTTTACGCTCCAGCAAATCTGTTTGTTCCACTCTGCTCGTCGTGACTTTTCAATAATTTAAGCCTTGCAAGTGTTTCATGCCATCTGACTGTGGCTGGAGGGAGGGGGTTTCCAGGTTGAAATCTTTGTTTCTGAGGCCGAAGGGCTGCAGGCATTAATGCAGAGCAGTTGTGACTAATTTAAGCTTTGTGCTTGCTGGGTTTCTGGAAGAGGACTAAAGAGGCAGGACGATCTGTTGCCTAAATTAGTAGCAAGGGGCTGACTTCTTCAGGAATTTGCTTTTCATAGTTAATGCAGGTTAATCAAAGAAAAATCTAATCTTACGTTTGTGGTTACAATGGAGATGTCTGTACAAATGGAGTATAGTAACCTGCTTGCTGAAATGCGGGAAAGCAGCACCCTGGCATCTGCATAGCACTACTTTGTGATCAGTAACTTCTTTGGAATATTTCTCAGCATATTCTATATACTTTCTACAAGCTCTTTGTTGCAGAGGTTTCGAACCAAAGACAACCCCTGCTCCTGGGCACTTGCCGCCTGAGGCAGGCTGGGAAGGTCCATCGCCCAGTGAGACACTCCTGGCCTGGAACTGAAATTAGGGGCAGTAGGTGTGCACCCATACTGTTTCAGGAGCAGCCCTGGGAAGCTGAGATCGAGTTGGACCACCTTCCCTGGCCACCAGTTATTTCAGCGAAAGAAATAACAGGCTAAGCATGATTTTTGTGTCTGCATCAGAAAACCACCATGTTTTAGGGTGGTTGGTAGGATAGATGCTCACCCACATGTGTGTCTGCATTATGATGAGGTGCTTAGGGACATGGTTTAGTGGTGGGATGGCAGGGTTAGGTTAAAGGTTGGACTCGATGATCTCAAAGGTCTTTTCCAACCAAAGTGATTCTATGATTCTATTCTATGATTCTATGATGGCCACTGTGGGGTTGCTCCTGACTGTAACGTGTGCAGCCATTATGCTGGGCAGAATTGGAGAGGCCACACGCTCGATAAGAGACTTGACTGATCTTTATTCAGGGGGAGTAACTGGAACAGGATTTTTAATCCAGAGTCTGTTGGAAAAGTACGTGCATTGCATAACAAATCTGCAAAAAGAAATAAGGCAGAAAGACTTGGTGTTTGACGGGGATGTATTTTGGTTACTCATGCCCAGAGCCACTTTTAACAGATCTGGACGTGAATCTCCTGTTCTCCATTAATCGCCTGCACCCACGTTGGGTATGGTCTCTGAGGCCTGCTGGTGCTTGCACAGCCCCCTTGGCCCCCCGGCAGGGGGGATGGTGACGCAGATGTTACCGATGTGGTCGGTCTCTCCACAGCTGCACCCGTAGTCACGTTTGTTCCCTGCTCTTTCTCCTCAGTAACATTTCCCCTGGATCTAACGAAAACTCGACTGCAGGTCCAAGGTGAAGCTGCCGTTCATCGCAATGGAGCTGCTGCCGGCCAGGCGGTCCCTTACCGTGGCATGCTGCGCACCGCGGCTGGCATCGTGCAAGAGGAGGGCTTACGAAAGCTCTGGCAAGGAGCCACGCCGGCCGTCTACCGCCACATAGGTGATTATCTGCTCATGATGGGACAAGTTTGGGTCCTGCCTTCTGTGGTCAACAGCCTTTTGGAGCGAGCTTGCCATACCTTGTTGTACTTTAAATATATCTGTGAGGACTTCTTCAGCTTGCCCTGCAATCCCACTTTGAAATATATAGGATTCTGGTTCAATCCCTTCTCTTCCCTCTCGCCCATTCTTCCACAGCCTTATTCTGGCTTCTGGGAAAACAAAATATAATTTCCCTGTGATCTTTGCAGGAAGGTCTTCAGCACAAGCAAGCACTCAAGAGTCCTCAGAAAGATAAATATCTTTTATTTGAGGGAGGTGGGGATGGGCTGCAAAAAAAAGATAAGGTTGCAAGCGCTAGGATGAAGAAATTCATTAGCGGTTTGGCCACAGGTAACAGCTTCCTGTGTTTTATTTGGAAATACGGTGACAGCAACAAACCTCAAAACCACTTGTGGGAGGTTTTTTGCTTGGCACCAGGGGAGAAGGAAGCAATGTGGTCACATCTCCTTAGCACGTGGGCATAAGCTGTGCTGCCTCCTGGCAGACGTGTGGCTCAGCCAGAGAGATTCTCTGATGCTAAGAAGTTCTGTCCCTGGCATTGCTACCAGGCAGCCCACTTGCTTTCCCCATTTTGATCACGAGCATGAGAGCAGCGACCAGCTGACCCAGGCAAGCTACGGAGTGTTTTACAACCTGATTTCTTGACCTCGCTGTCACAGCATGACCTCCAGGAATGGCAGACCCAAGAATTGTCTCCTGCTTTTGTTTTCCACAGTGTACTCTGGTGTTCGGATGGTTGCGTACGAACATCTCCGTGACTCCGTGCTTGGCAGGTCTGAGGATGGAAGCTTTCCTTTCTGGTAATGTTGCATATTTATGCTTTTGCCTGGTTGGGGATTGTCCTTAGTGTAGGAGTCCTGCAGCCCTAAAAGTTGTGTTTTCCTCATGGCTCCCCTACCCTAAGGAGCGTAAATATAAAGTAGTGTTTTAAGTACTGATATGGACTTTCTGATTTTAGTTTTATCTTTTCATTCAGCTGGGAATGGGACTAAGAAATGCTGAAGGAAGTTTTTCAGAGGTTTAACTAGGACCATGATTACTCTAATAAGGATACTCTACTAAAGAGATGGAGAAACATGATAAACCGTGTCGATAGAAGCAGCTGTCCTGGGCTGGCAGGAAGTATCCTGGACGAGAGTGGAGGCAGGGCAGCTTTACCGTGACTCAAGGTCTGTGATGTAGTGGCTGCTCTTTTATTGCCGCCTGTGCCAGGGGATGTTGGGAAGTGCAAGCTGACTGTACAGCTGTGTGTGACGGCTGCTGGAGAAGCTGTGAGCTATTGCACAAACCCAACACCAGTGTGAGTAACTGTGACTAATCCTGCAGCTGCCTGGGTAATACAAACCAGAGGTTCAGCTGAGCCAAGCTGGACTTGCAGCATCGTGCCCCGCTCAGGTCTGAGGTCACCCGAGAGCTGCATTAGCTCTACACGGGTACATTTCCAAAGGCATGAGGGACATGTCAAATATCCTCTGGGGCTTTGCAGAAAAGAAGTGAGGTGTGGTACATCTCAGACTTCCAGCTGCTGGAAGGACAGGTCCCATTCCGTGTTGTCCAGCAGCAGTATGGCAACACTTTGCTGGTTTGCCGCTTGTCATACTGCCTAGGTAAGAAATTGTTATGCCATTGGATAATTAACAGGGAGCGTAGTAATAGGCCAGTTTGCTGATTCTGATGGTGTATTTTAGCGCAAGAGATGGAAATTTCCTGGCTGCTGAAGAGGCAGATTGTGAAGGAAAAGACACTGTGTTGTCAGCCTGAGTTAAATCTGTGCATCCTTCCTGAGGAGACAAATGACCCTATAAACAGCAAACCCAAAGCCTTTGTTTTGCAAGTTAATTCAGCAACAGATAAATCTCACTCAATCCCTTTTTTGACAATGCAAGCAGTATATAGCCACAGAATTGACTCTTTGATTGTGGGGAATGAAGCAGATTTTTCTGTAAGTTTTGCAAAGTTTCTTAATTTCTAATTGTCAAATCCTTATTGTTAAATGTCAGTCATGTACTTTTATAATCATATACAGTACCATATCCAATCAGGTATTTTACTCCAAAATCAAAATGTAACTGTTTTTAGGATGGGATTTGTAAAATCTAATAGAAAATTCTTGTCGTGCCTGATGCGAAGGGAAGGGTGAACTGGGCATAATACTGAAATTTCTGGTTCTACTATAATAAGTAGAACCATAAAATTAACACATCCAGTAGCAATGGGAGATAGATCAAAGTTGTATATATCAGCAAATAGTTTAGCATTCAGATTGGCATTCAGTTATTACAATATATGGAGCACCATCCCTTACTTGTGTACCTTGCCATCCTGCCTTTAAACCTTAAGCAAGGAGTATAACGTAATCTGGAGAGGAAGCAGAGCATCTTGATGATGTGTAATAACCTGAGTTTTTCCCCAGATAAGTTTTAAACCTTTCTTAAAATTGACAGAAGTATTGTTGACTACTTAACTACCTGCAGCCGCTACAACTATTACCTTAACTTTGGCTGTTAATATAAGGAATAACCATTTATACTTGTTTCACCCGGGTTGCGCTGCTGAACTCTTCAGCTCGAGCACAGCGATTTGTGAAGATTTTCAGTGCATTCCAGAGAACTTTTTTTTTTCCCTGTTTGGCAGGAAAGCTGTAGTTGGAGGCATGTCTGCGGGTGCCATCGGACAGTTTTTTGCCAGCCCGACTGATCTGGTGAAGGTGCAGATGCAAATGGAAGGAAAAAGGAAGCTGGAAGGAAAGCCGTTACGGTTGGTTCCTCTCAAAGCTGGTGGTTTTTTCCTGTTAATGATTACTCTTAGGCAGGTGGTTCTCTCTGTTTACTGCCACCCCCTCTCCCCAACTGTTTGGAGCCCTTTCGGGGGAAGAGCAGTGCCTGGGAGGCACGCGATGGCTCTGGGCAGTGGAGAGGGTGGGGAATCCAAGACTTCCTCCTCATTCCACTTTGCTTTCTGAAGAAGGAAAGCTGGAAAAAAAGTTGGGGGGAATGGCTTGTGCAGGATTTTGGAGGTATTTAAAAGAAGGATAGATGAGGTGCTTAGGGACATGGTTTAGTGGTGGGATGGCAGGGTTAGGTTAAAGGTTGGACTCGATGATCTTAAAGGTCTTTTCCAACCAAAGCGATTCTATGATTCTATGATTCTAGGATGTACAGGTGCAGGGAAGGGCTAGGTTGCCTGCAGACAGCAGGGCTTGAGACCGTCCTGCAGGTACCAGGACACATTGATCTTTGCATCTGAAACTGCTGGCATCCTTCGGTGTCTTGTACGTGTAGTATTGCAACCCAGCTGTGGGATCAAAGGGCTGTCTGTCATTAGTGACCAGATGGCTGCTTACCAGGGCAACCGGTATGTTTGGTAAAATATCGCAGCACGAAAATCAAAGATGGATCCAAAAATGGATCAGGCAGGCCAGACCCTTGCAGGTATAAATCACCTTTCGTATGTGAGGACCCGGCGCAGCAAAGTGCTGGAATATGCAAAGATTTCTCCATAGCTGGGCTCTCTACTTATTAGTTGCGTATTAATTTCAGGTTTCGAGGAGTGCACCACGCGTTTATGAAGATCCTCTCCGAAGGAGGAATACGGGGGCTTTGGGCTGGATGGGTGCCAAATGTCCAGCGAGCTGCTCTGGTGAACATGGGAGGTAAATTTCATAACTTGGTCTGCAGCGCTTAAGGCCACATCTAAACTTTAAGGAGAGATCAGCTGCTCCCCTGGCCTTTGTCTCCTGGTTATTTACATTGGGGACCTGTTTGAAGCGCACTGCAGGTGATTTCTGCCTTCAGTGTTTTGTTCCTGTGGAAAACAAGTTCCTTAAAAATAACAGTTTGCGCCTGAGCCTGAGGGATGGTGAGCTGGGAGCTGAGGGGGTCCCACAGCCAGCAGAGCAAGGACCTCACCAGCCATGACCCAGCTCCCTGGTGCCCAAGCAAGGTGAGCAGGGCAGAGCCTGCGAAGGCAGCCAGGTTCCACCGCGATCCAGATCCTCAGGAAAGTGTGTGGTGGTGAGGCAGGTCTGAGGCCAAGGCAGGAAGCTGAGGCAGCATCAGGTCTGTTGAGGGTCACCAGGGTCAGACAGCTCAGTGATCACCAGCAGGTCCGTGGTGATAAGGTCCAAGGTCAAGCTAGGTAGATGGTCCATGGATCAGTGTCCAGATCAACAAGGTCCACAGCCCAGGCATGGTGTGAGGGAGCTGCAGACAGGTACCCCTGCAGTGTAGTTCTGCCAGGGACTGGGGGTTATAAGGTGAAGTGGCTGCCTGAGGGGTCGGCTGATCCAAAAAACACTCACTCCTTCCACATATAGGTAGAGCTTTCCTGTGTCTCTCCAAGACTGCTAGGATATGTTGGATGGTCTGTGCTCTCCTTCCTGAGGTTCTGTTTACAAAAGAGGGAGATGCCTTTGGGACCAAAAGACACTGCCTGTGGGTGCCCACCATAAACACTTGGTCTGTGCTTGGTGGCACGTAGTAGAGCATTGCCTTGGCAATTTTTTTATTTTGCGTGCTTGAATTTCTTTGATATGATGGCTACTAATTTCTACATAATTCAGCACAGGGATATGTTATCAGCATGACCAAAAAATCAAAAATATCAAAAAGATAGAAAATCAGAGGTGGTACAAGCTTACACCTTGCTAAGCAGCAGTAAAGGAATCACTGGATGGATGATCTTTGCAGCAGGAGCTGTTAAATGAGGGCTATAGAATGACCATTAACTAAGGTATTTGCCTCCATACACAAGGTTAACGTGCAGTCTCGCATGTAAACTTAAACAAGCAAACTCTTTTACAAGTGGGAAATGATCTCCACTGGGTACCTTTGGGCTGTAAAGCACCATGAAGTGGTCAGTAGGCTGGGCTCTTGAGTTTTAAAGTCAGGACATTGGAACTGTAACCCAGACCTGCTGTTAACTCTAACATCACTGTCTTTCATTCAGATGTCCAGGTGCCGTAACTCATGTCTGCTTTCAGAAGAACATGATATAACTTCCATGATATCCTCTACTTTTTTTGTCTGATCTTTCTAGCATTTTTATGACACTTGCACAGAGGCGGTAGAGGCAGAACTGTCCTTATTGTGACATTTGTGGGTTTGGTTAATGAGTTATTTTGCAGAATTTTCCATTTGGGATCCATTTTTATCACTTGTAGGGTAACTCAGAGAAGACGGTAGTGGAAGGGAGCACGTACACACCTGTCCAATGACAGGACTGAGGTGCCACAACCATCTTCAGAAACTGGGGGCAGAGCACTAGCTGTGCCAACGGGAGGAGCTGCACTGGAAATCTCGGTCTTGCCAAGCCTCCATCCTATGTCAGTAATGAACAGCACAGGCACCGTTTACCTCTGACAACGCTGTTTTTTCTCATTATCCTATTTACAGATCTGACCACTTACGACTCAGTGAAACACTTTTTGCTTCTGAACACACCGCTTGTGGACAATAGCGTGACTCACAGTGTTGCCAGGTGCCGTATTCCCTCATTACCCCTTTTCTGCAGCGGAGCATTTCCAGCCTCGCTGTCTTGATCTGCCTCTCTGTGCCAGCAGAAGCTCCTATTCTTTGGTCATGATATTGCTGATAAAATGCACCTTTATAACTACTTTTTTTTTTTTTTTTTTGGAGAGGACATCTATGAACATAAGACACAAGACAAAGGATGCAACCATTGCTACAAAACTGCCCTTCTAGTGAAAGCGCCTTCCTGATGCATTTAAACACCCCACACATCTATGAGAGCAGAGGAATTTTCACTTTTCTAGAATTGCTCCTATTTTATCTAACCTAATTTTAATTTTAGCAAGCCATATGAATAAGCACTATAAACTCTGCAGAACAACCTCCTTTACTCCCTTAAGTTATGAAGAAATCTGCTTTATATGAACAAAATCATAAATTGCTTATCGTGGGTCCTTTATCTCTGCCTCAGAACTGCAGAGAGGTGAGGGAAGCTGGTGCTGGGAGGATGTCTGAGCAAAAGCAATACTAGCAAGCCTCCTTCCAAATCAAGTTTATGTTATGAGGTATTACTCATAATTTCATGGTAACTGTTTTAATCTATTATATATTATGAGAACCGGAACCATGATGCTTAAATTGTAAAGATCTTAGTTTCTTCTGTAAGTATCTGTTGCTGTTGACAGTTGCTGTTCTGGCCTGGTAGCTGCTGTTTTGGGAACTCCTGCTGACGTGGTCAAAACCCGGATAATGAACCAGCCGAGAGACAGGCAGGGAAGGTACAGACACTTCAGAGGCCGACTTTTCAGTAGAAAACTGAAACCCTCAGTCTCACTGATTTCACCGGGTGTAAAGTGCTAAGTCTCTGATCCGCCCTTCATCTTTCTGAGGATGATTTTATTGTTTTACTTTTGCATGTCCAGGGGGGTTTGTTGTGACGGCCACCTAAGCATACCGGTTACGTTGTGGATTTCAGTTCTGATGAGACTCCACTGAGCTTACAAAAGAGCTCCTGCTTGTACAAATTTATCAGATACAGATGATTTTTCAGGGGCGATGGCGTTTTTTTAATTGCATATTTGTAATCCTAACAGTATTTGTTCTCTTTGCACGTTGCCAGAGGTCTGCTGTATAAGTCTTCCATGGACTGCTTGATTCAAACCGTACAGGGTGAAGGGTTTATGTCTCTGTACAAAGGCTTTATACCAACCTGGATGCGAATGGTCAGTGCTCTTTTTAAACTCTCTTTACAAGACAGACGAACAATGTAGCATTAAAAATGTAAAAGCATTCCATGTCAACACTTTTCCCAAACTATTTGGGTCTCTCGATTTAATTGCAGTTAGCATAGTTGAATGTAGTGGATGACACAACTGCATGCAATGTCACTTCCCCATTGTTGCCTTTTGCATCTCTTTAATTTGGAAAATGCTGTCATGCTTAATTGCTAGTGATTTACTTTGCTTTTTTTACAATTTCAGACTCCCTTTTCTCTCCCTTCCTAAACTCTCCTTTGCTCCTTTCTTGCTCCCAGCCCTGGACTCCCTTTGCATCCCTCTTACTTTCATCCCTTCTCTCCTGATCCCAGAATTGCTTTATTACTGCTCCATCCATACTGCTCACTTTTGCCCCTGTCCTATTCAGGCAGACAGCTTTTTCCTGCATACTGCTGGGCTGTTAAATTAAGCCAAGCAGCAGCTGGAGCCTGGGAAAGGGAACTTGGCTGTCCAGACTGTTAGTTTGGGCAAGGGACAATTCCCAACAGCAAATTCAGATGTGACCACCTGTAAGAATTTAACAGTATGGCTACATCTAGACTCTGCCAGCTGGCTTCAAGGTCTTGGCACTGTGTAATTTACCAGACTGAGCACTAAGATGGAAGGCAAAAGCCTCCCTTCTCTAATTTAACTGAGCACAACAGTGGCCGCAGCCTCTGGTAAGAGCAATTATAGGAAGGTTCTGCTCAGTTGCTCAGTCCTCGTGTCCGTGAGCTGAGCACATTCAGTATTGATGGGGTCTTTGCGAGTCTACTACTAAGCTAAATATTTCCATGGAGCGTACGCCAACTTAGATTTCCCAAAGGCTTGTAAATTTGGGAATGTTTAGCGGGTCTTTCAGAGGAGCAGGAAAAGGTGTTTCCTAGGCACAAGGCAGCCTTTTGCCAAATAGCAATCTATTGCCAAAAGAAAAAATTAGAGCATTCCAAAGAATGGGTGCAGGATACAGATTTTATGCAAGGAGAACCGTGTAACTTTCTGATTAAGGTTTTAGAACAAGTAAACCCTTTACAAATTTTTTTTAAAAAGCATTCAGGCTGAAGTAGCCCCCAAGTATGAAACATTTGGGTTGGCAAACTGGAAAAAAAAAAAGTTTTAGGTGTCTTCTGAAGGACTGGGTAGATCTAACCATATGCAAGACTACAATTTTTGTATGAAATACATAATATGAGATTGAGCTTAAGAAAAATCATATTTTTAATAGGAGACAGTTTAATCTAATGGGTTTATTTTTTGGGTCACTTCTGTTTTAAGCCTCTAACTTCAGTATTTGCTTTCACAGGCTCCTTGGTCACTGGTATTCTGGCTTACATATGAACAAATCAGAAGGATCTGTGGAGTTAGTTCTTTTTAAAATTGTGAAACCACTTCAGTATTCACGAAACAAAGAAGAATCGAAAAGCTGAAGTCTCATACCACAAGGCATCGCAACCCCACAGGGAACTAATTCATTTAGGAGGTTGGCAGTAGGATCACACGTATAGGTTGCTGCCCCAAATCCAGTCCTTACTGGTTAGGAGTAGCCATGACTTAAGGATACTATTTGCTTGTCAGACTGCTATATGAAATTTAAGCTATCCACGGGATAAACTTGCCGCAATAGTACTTCAACTGGCAGCCACCATGAGTGTTCTGAAACAGTAAACAGAGTTAAAAAAATTCTATCAAGCAAGTAGAATACTGTTTGCTTGTTTGATAATAGAGATGGTTCCTATTGTTAAGAGCAGGTTGAACAGCACGGCACCTAACATCTTCTGTGGCTAAGCAGTCCATAAAATTATTTTGGAATTTCTGTTATTATTACATTTGCACACACATAAAGAACTACCTCTCGTTAGTTTGATGCCTCAACAAACCAAGCCTGTAGTGCTAGGAACTGAAAAAAGATCAAAGCAGTTTACCTGACTTCAAATTTGCTTTCTACAAATGGTGGAAGGGGTTGTGTTCCTCTTACTTCCCAGAGACTGCCTGAGCTCTTCACTCAACCATCTGAGTAGTATCCATGAGCGAAATGCAGTTTTGTACCTGGGAAATCAAAAGCCTAGTTCGCTCTGCCCCTCTTGAAGGACTCTTAACACGCATGCTGCCCATAGGACTGAGTTGAACTAGTTGTCCTTTGAGAGTCCCAGTGCTGACGTGGCAGACTGGGTCATCAAGGTGCCACTTTTCCATGGCAATAGGCACTCTGCCCATTTTAAATCTAGATGAAAATACAATGTTTACTTCAAACGTTTTGTGTCTTTGAAGGGTTTTGTTTTTTTTTTTTTTTTCAAACCTAAAGCTTTCCAGATTTTATAGGAAAGGGGACAGCTGCTGTTTGTCACTAAGCTTATCTTTGGCAATCACGAGGCAAAAATGCAGTATAAAAGCAATCATAATGTAGACAGAAGAAAGCTGGCTTTGATTTAGCAATATCTAGTAATGAAATGACTGTACAAGACTTAGTTCTCTGAGTGAATACTCAGGATTTCTTCTAGACTAGTCTTTGCAACTAGTATCTTCAATGTGCCAATTTCTGATTAAATAGTTTGGGCGTCTTCTTGTCTTGCAGTTGTACTTTTTGATTGTATTGCAGATCGAGACTGCATACGTTTGAGTGTGTTATTCCAGCCTGGAAAAAATTCATCGTGACATCATTAGGGGGTCAGAATTTTCTGCTCAGAAATATTTTCCTAGTTGTCAGCCTGAGAAACTAATCTGAGTTCTTCCCTTCTTGCACACAATCACCAGCAATTATTAAACCAGCAGTCAGAGCTGCTTCTTCAGTTACATCCCGAGTGGTCCTGCCTGCCATCCTGTTACTCAGCTAACCCTGAGTGATGGATATGCAGAAGTACCTCAACTACTGGGTTAAAAAATGTAATTTTAATGGTCTTGTAGTGAAAAACTGTTTAAACTCCTAATAAAGCTCTTTTTTTTGGAGCGTGAAACACTAAAGAGATTCGTCACAGTGCTGATTCCTAGTATTTTGTATTTAAAAATAAATAATTCAAATAGGAAAACTTGTCACTTTCTGCATTGCTTCTTAAGTGTGTAATTCCAGATTTGGCCATCTTTATGCACTTACCAGCTTCAGTTTCAGAAGCCAAGAATTAGCCCAAGGACGACACTGAAGTTCCTTGGCTGGAGTCTCCTGTGGCCTAAGAAAGGCTTGCTGAAGCCTCAGGCCTTCCTCTTCCTCACACCTCCACTTCCAACCATTGTCCCTAAGGGCTGGAAGGCAGCTAAAGGTCTGCCTGGAAAAAGGAGGGCAAACCCAGGGAGAAAGCACACACGCTCGCAGAGCTGGACAGACAAAATGGAGCACTGCAACAGTGCGGGCTAACTGGAAGGGGCCACCACACAGAGCACCCATGTTTGCCTTTTCCAAGGCCCTGAGGGGTGGTGCTGGCCTGCAGCTGCTCCATCCATAGGCAGGACAGCCCCTGATGCTGCTGTCCCTTGGTCCAGTGTCACCCTCCCTGTGCTGAGCCAGACAGCACTTGGCAGAGGCCGGTGTCCTGTGCCATGGGGTGGCCTCAGATGGAGGGCACGGATCAGATGGTGACAGGCGGAGTGCGGCCTCCACCTCAGGCGTTGGAGAATCATAGAATCATAGAATGTTTTGGATAGGAAGGGACCCCTAGAGGTCATCTAGTCCAACCCCCTGCAGGGAGCAGGGACACCTTTAACCAGATCAGGTTGCTCACAGCCCC